TGATTTTCAACACTGCTGCTGGCCGATAAACCCACGCATGGGATTTAATTGAAAACATCTAAGTACTCAGAAGTGTACTCCATTAGACGATACTCACGTCACTTTACAATAAAATCCAAGAAATGTTGAAAAATGATGGCGAAATGGTCTCCGTAAAACCTGATTTACACAGCATTCTTTTTACTAGCAACTAGCATGCTAATTTTTTACTGAACTAAAAAACTAATAGCTACAAAAATATAATTTATAAAATTATATCTATAGTATTATATTTTTTGGAATTATATTTATAAAATTATAATTATAAAATTATTTTTTAGGTACTAATCTTCTGGTTTGTTAGAAAACGCGTTAGTTGCTAGTAGAAAGCATTGTAAATCAGATCTTCCTTTTTCACTCGCATTACTTTAGATAGAATCACCTCAAAGCCATTTACAACTGAATATACGAGTAATTTATAATAAAGAAAAAATAATGTACCGTCTCTTTTATAATGGACAATTTTGAAGTCAAATCTTGTTTGACGATTTCAAACTCGGGTAACTACTTCTTTTATTAATCAATTCGCGTTTCTTTTAATAGTAATACGTTAAATGACGACTTAAATTTCAAGTTGTTTACTTTTTTCTGGGCTTCGTCATGTCGTTCTAGAGATTCACGTTATATAAATTGATATATATAGATAAACATACAGTAATCCTTCTATCGTTTCATTTGCGGTCGTTTCTGTCACTGTTGGATAGCTTTCATCTCTCAATTTTCTCTATACAGAGTACAAGAACGTGACATAGGAATGTGGGAAAAGTGATTTCCGGAAAAATACAGTACAATTTAGAACATATAAAGCTTCAATTCGTATCTATATTGCCGTAACATGAGGTTTAATACGATCGTGACATATCGCGGTTTACCGGCGAATATATAAAGCACTCTCGTATGAGGTAGCGTGCTTGAATGAGTTTGCGGAAGTGGCGGTGGTGACGCTACTTCCCTCGTAAAATTACGCGTGCTGCAAAGATTTACGGGCGATAACGTGAGTGTCTTATATACGAAAATCGAGAAAAATATTCCCGCGGCGCATGAAACACAAGAAAGCTATTTTAACGGGCGGGTGTAATGCCCGACGTTGGCTCCAGGAGGGGTTCAGAAATGGAACGACATCTGATAGCGAACCGTCGGCCGTGAGAACCACTTTACTATCGTACCGCTCATTGAAGAGTGGATAGATGAGTATAGGTAGTCAGACTTTTACCTTTCACACATCGGGCTAAGGAAAGGGCCGAGGGCTCTTCTAAAAAACGGAATTCCTTCCTTGAGAAACATGCCCTGCTTCCCGAGGCAAAGAACGGACGAGTGGAGCTTGAATTACTTTTAGCTGCAGATATATTCCTCAGGGGGATGATTTCTCCTGCGAGATACGTATATTTGTCTCCGTCTAAATTCACGATTCTGAATGGGATAAGCGCGACGCAGGGCACGAATCTTTTTCTTTCTTAAGAGACAAAATGTAATATACGGAGTGATTTATTTAACGTAAAATACAGCTTACTGTGCATTTCCTTCTTTTTGATTATTTTAGATCTCCGTAATGAGAAACATTAAAATTCCTGTGCTTCCTGCAGCGAAATAATTATACATACAAACTGACGATATCGCTTATCTGTTTTAATTTGATGATTTATATGCCCGTTATATTCCGATTAAGGTTAAACGTAACCCTAATCGGTATTCACTTCGATGTTTCCTCAATTGGTATTTCTTTAACAAGTCCAGTGTATTTTAAGTTAATGCATCTTTGTTTAAAGTTAAGGTAAGTGAGCAACTTTTATTTTAAATGTCAAAATTCGAGGAGTAAAATTATATAACTTAAAACTATGTGTGTGTAAAATTGTGAAAAACATTTGGAAATAATTTTCCGCAACGTAGTTAAAGAAAATGTCGGGACCCACTGGAATACTGATTATAGACTTAATAATAATAGTACATATTATATATAATGTATTTATATTTATAATAATAATACTATATGTTATATAGTAATAATATTCATAATAATAAAACTTAATTTTTAAAGTATTACGTATGCCACGCGCGCGCAAATCAGCAATAAATCTGCATTGCTCCATTAAGATTATATCTATCGCAGCGGAGGGATATAATATGCTTTGATCTATATTTTTTGCATCAAACAGATAATTTCTTGCAACTTGATATTCCACTTTGGACTTTATCTAGACAGGTTGATGAATTATTGAATTGCGCCGTGTATAACGGTAGACGCCACTTATAAGAGCGATTCGTCAATGATGTAGGTATACTCGACAGGCATAAAAATGTTCAGACACGTGGTGCGAATCCTCGAGTATAAGTGCATCAAGGGAAGATGAAGCGATAGTCCGCGCCGCGGTCATGAACGAGCACCAGTCAGATATATCCACACAGTCAGTTCGTTATCGGTGATACGAGAAATAGGATCATGCTATGTAGAGAAGTAAATCGACAGTGTTCAGTAAAATTTTCTTATAACCCACATTTTTGCGAAATATACTATTCATACTGCGTGTCCATTGAAACTTGTGTAAAACTTTTCATGACACTGTATTATTAGTGAATTCAACAGTATCTCTTTCCTCTGGCTTTTCAGTAGATAGATAAAAATAATATTCTGTTTATACGTAAGGCAGTAACGTTGACTACGTTGACGTTTTACTGAAATATCATCTTTGATAAAATTTTAATTTTTCATTCAATTATTTTGTAAAATAGAACGATAAATTTTTTTTATCTATATATTTTTAGATAGCCGCTTTTAGTGGACTTTGAGAGAATGATTCATTTTATAATACAATTAAAATTGTCAAAGTACAGAAATGATAAAATAGTCAATCAAATATCAACTTTTCGATATACAAAATCAATTTTTTTTAACAGAATTTTATAAATTTTATGTGATTTATATTCTCAATTGTGTTTTGATGTAGGATTATTACCTTTTCTATTTTAATATCCATAACTATTTTTCTATACAGAGAGAAGAAGAACGAGGAAAGTTTGTAATACGATGTAACGTACAAGCTGGGACTTTATTTTGTTGTCCAGCGAGAATTCATCCAATGAATTCGTAATCTCCCATAGGATTTATCATTCGACACGCGTACTATAATATGAAAAAGGTCAAAAAAAATTAATAATTAATGGCAGAGAGATATTTTTTGCATATATCTTACGACAACCGTATCTTTTCTAGAATTAAAATTGACTCGTTCCATTTTTAAACGAAATATATTTCGTCGAAACGAGGAATATTTTAGCGCTTTCCATTGTTACGTTGGTATACAATAGTAATAGTATCTCGACAGAAGCGCGTAGTTTAATATTTGTTACGGTGTGTAACGTGGCGTACATTATATGTCTGCCTCAGATGAGCTCTATTCTATTCATTTTGACGATTCGCCAGGGGATATTTTAATACATAAACTGTGAGCGTCATTCGTGCATCGCCTGCTGAATTTGTTTCAACCATAATCACAGTTCCTTTAGTAGTTACATAAAACTGAATAAACCGTAGTACTAATTAACACGCATTTTACATAAGTACAACATAAATATATAAAATATGTATACATATATAAAGATTACGCGCGTATCGTAATTAAAGATTAATTAAAGACGTCTATAAATATTGTACTTAAAAAAAAGAAATCAATTTTATAGAATGATTATATCGCGCGCTGCTTTTTACTTCAAAAGTGACACAACTCAAAAAATATGATTTCAAGTCATCATCATGAATAAGTTAAGTAAACATTAATTAATCATCAAATGAATTAACTTAATTTTATAACAAAATTCTCACGAAGGCATCACAACTTAAAAGAGTGTTTTTTTTTTATAATTGTAAAAAAACAAAATGACATTTGATGTTAAAAACATATTTTTTCATGTTTCGATTACTCAATGATTTTTTGTCAAGTTGAAAAATAATTTTTGCTCTTTTTCTCCGGAAATTCAATTTTTCGAGTTATCACTTTGAAAAGTAAAGAAGAAGTAGAAGTTCTCTTCCTCTAAATAATTTTATTTACATTTCCGAGATACCGAAAAGTACAAATATTAAAAACGTTGATAATTAACATGTTCATTTGAGCGTTAATCACATGCTTAAGTATATTAAATGTATCTGATCATAATTGTTTAACTGCTTAATGTAATTGAGATGTCGAGACTAGTTGAACCGTTTGCTCAACTTGCGTTCGTGCTTTACGGTAAGAAATTTAATAAAAATCTTTGGTATCTGTGATTCTCTATTTGTTTATCTGTGTTCGAAGGCGATGGAAAAACCACGATGTGCCTCACTATATGTGCATTCTCGCGTTACGTGTACGGCATCAGTAAGTCTTCCCTTTCGTTCCACTTTGAAATATTAATTTATGTGATACCCGTTACGCGAACAAAGTCTGAAGTTGAACTTATGATTCACGTCGTCAGTATCAACAATATTGAGAGGGCTTCTGCTTTGGTACTGGTTTCCTTGGAGACCGCATGAAACCACGGCAAGAAAATGAAGAAGACGGGGAAACATCATTACATACTTTTCTAATATTACAATACTCCATTCCTCCTAGACCTTCAATTTTCTATTTGCCAACTACTTTGCTTTTCGTGCTTTCCTTTCGACTCTTTTTAGTCATAAGTATATATATATTTCTCTAACTTTTTTTAAGAACGGCTTTATGAATCTTAAATAAAAGACCAAACTTATAGCTTCGTTCTCGTTTCTTCATAATTGAAGACAAAGCGTAAAATATTTTCAGAAAAGATAATTACGAAGAAAATATCTTGAATTATATTTTATTCTAAAAGACACGCGTGCGTATTTCTCGTATCGATAAAGTACACTTATAACGCAAATAACATTGCCTCTGAAAAAAATAAAAGAATGGCAGATTTTTGCGGTGCATTTCACTAATAATCTCTTCTCTATCTACACATTTGCGACTTACCCTATGCATAATCGCAGTTCGCATTATTATCCGGCCGATTATCAGCTCAGCGCGTTTAGAGTCGGCGGGAAACAGAAGGAAAGTATGCAAACTGATTAAATACACGCGGGGGGGAGGGTTCGCCCGACGCAGAAGAGAGATGGCACGAGAGAGAATGCGAAAGTTTCTAAAGTTCCGCGAAGCAGCTTATAGCGGAGCACGCACTCTGAGCGAAAATCGATAGTAACGAGGCGAGAAGAGCGGGAATAAACGCGAAGAAGGAGCGAGCGAAATAGGAAAGAAAAGTAGAGAAGGTTGAACACGAGAGGCACGCACGCATGCACGCACGCACTTAATGTTCGCCACCGGCACGCGCAACAGCCGGGGGCACGTCCTCGCACCACGAAGGCCCGCGCAGCACTGACTCTTTCTACTGAGCGCTCTCTCCGCTGCGGCCCGCACTCGATGTGCGAGAGATCGGGGCGAGAGAGAGGAACGGCGCGCACACACGGCGGAGCGAATTAATAACTATAGGGCTTGGTTTGGCGGGTAAACAGCTAATGAGCCGAAAAATCAGTATAATACGGATACGATACGCGTGTTCTATCGTTTGCAATAAGCGGCAAATGCAATTCGCTAAATGTACCATATCTGGAAAGATCGACGTCAAACTTACGAGTTTATCCTGCTTATCGCGAAAATTTTAGTCATGAACGTACAAGATGCGCTGTGCGAGGGACGTAAAATTTAGTTTGAAATACGATAACGTGTGAAATATTTGGGACGTTTGAGAATTTATACAATACTGAAATATGTATAATTGCATTTATGGTTCATTCGAATAGATCGATTTTCATTTATGTCATTTCACACACCGGCGATTAAATTATCCAAAGGTATTTACACTATGATGTGTATATTTCGTAATGATATAATATTGTATTATGAACGTTTGCTCTGTCGTTCCTCTCAAAAGCGAACGCTTCAAACACGGCGACCTGTACAAATACAGCGAATTAATGCCATCGATCTGAGGCACGGTTGATTTTACAAACGTCGCAAATCGCTGAGAGTTTCATGTCAACCAAACGAACCTCAAACAATCGGTCGTAATAAAAAGTGGCAACCCTGATTGATGGGCGGCCGCCTGTCTCATCGTAATTACTAATCACCTTTATTGGCAGCGAACGTTCGAGGACAACGCGCCAAGATCAATTGATCGATTATCCGTAATCAGATAAGTTACACTCGAGCAGAATTTCGAAAGGTCAGACGAGCTGTTTGCCACCCTCATACACCTGAGGAACATTTTGCTCGCTCACTTGCTCGCCAAAGCCTTGCGGAAGCAAAGGCTTCAGATCTCAAGCTGAAGGAGATACGGGCGATCGACGTGTGCAACGAAATTCTACAGCGTAAATCTATCACCAACGTCTACACTACCGTCCATAAATTTGGGAATACTTGCAATTTTCTTGCATTTCACAAAAACTTAAGAAAAGAAATCATAAAGAAGTTTTTAAAACTGCATTTTAAAGAGGAAAAGTATGGCTTTAAACTAAGTTCGAATTTAAGTTGAATTTAAGAACACAAAATATCTTCGTGGTGTAAAAACTTAATTTAAAAAAAATGTTTTTTAACTTTGAAACTAAGAGATTTACAGAAAAAGAAAACAAAAGGGTAAAAATGTTTGTTATTGTTATAAAGTGTTTGATCCTTAATATAAATTTTTTCAAAATTTCTTAAAACTTTTTTTGACCGTCAACATATTTTATAAAATTAAATCAATTTTATGTAATAAAAAATTCGATATTTTTGCAAAAAGTCAATGTAGCAATTTTTCAAGAAGCATTTTAAAACTGAAAAAGTCTTTTAAAATGTTTATATATTAAATTTTGTCCAATAATATTCCACCCAAGTAAAGCTCTTCAAAAAATGACAAAAATATTACATAAAATGAATATTCATTTTATGTAATTTAGGAATAAATATCATAGAGACAAAATTCAAACGCCAGTTTGAAGTTCTATTTTTCCTCTTTAAATTGCATTTGAAAAACTTTTTATAATTTCTTTTTATCGAAAGAATGCTTGGGTTTTTGTGTAATGCGAGAAAATGGCACTACGTTCAAAATTTATAAATGATAGTGTATACATATATTCGTTATTACATATATTGTATGTGAATGTAATATATGATAATATAATATATATGTGTTATATATGAATTTTCATATTTTGTCTGTATAAAAAATCCGTACCTTAAAATACGAATTTATACGACGTTATGATAAACAAAATGTTCCTTTAGAAATTTGCTCGTAAACGCTTCGTACGTCATATCACGATTATTACATTAGTAAACCACATCGGTTATTCATAGATCAAATTCAAGGAACCGTAAATTATCATATAATAATTTAATAATCTTTTATTAGCTCGTGCAACGCACTAAATTTTACTTCTCAATCTATATTAGTTTTGTGACATGAATATATTTCTCTTTAGCGCGGGCATACGTCAAACACGTGTTGCTACGTAATTCGTTACATTCGCGCGCGTCCGCTCGTCAGGAGATGGTTCGTCGAGTGCCAAGGGCTTAATTTGTGCGGAACGAGAGATTAATCTAGCTTGAAAACGATTTTGATACGCGTGACCGTTTCCGGCTGTCCCCACGGGGGGCAAATCGGTATTCTAGCGACGTGCGGTTCAAGCGTGCTCGTATTAAGGACGAGTCGCGTGCACGCACGGTATAAAAAAAAAGGAAATAAATAAATTCCACCGCTTTGACGTTTGACAATGAAAAAGTACTAGCTTTGAGTGCACTTGACACACGCATTGCAACACGACGCGTGTAACTAATAACATAGCGTTGCAACAGTATCTCTGGAAAAAAATATACATATACGAGAACAGTTGAAATTACTGTCTCGATTTACTTTGAAATTACGATCTGCAGCAAGAGAAGCGTAGTTTAAATGTGGAGATAAAACGATATTAATTTATAACAAGAGTAAAGAGCTTACGTTATATCTGTCTGTGTATCTCTCGAGGCTTAATCTGCGAATTAACTAGTAATTAGCGGCGCTTCGATATTCCGTCTTTTGTTCTTTAGAATTTGTCTTTGATGTTTTTTACATTATTACGCATAATTTATATATATACATATGCAATTGCGATTATACATTAACAATTATGGATTACACAATTGTTAATACACATATGCATAAATTGTGCCGGAATGAATTCTTGCGTTACAATAATTATGGATTGCGCATTGTTTGTTTTATTTAATTAAAATAAAGTCCAGAGAATGTGTGTGACTGGCGTGAAAAAATATCAAGAGCCACGCTTGCGGATATCGATCCCACGTGTCCACAGCTTGTGTTTTACGAAATTTATACACTCGTAATATTAAGGTTTATATGTGACGTGAAGTTTGTTGGTCACGAAGGGAGTTCACGTTCAGAACGAGAGTACAAATTGTCAAGGTTGCAGTACCGATGGAATTAATGGATTAGCTCGGATGAATCGAGAAATGTATCATCTTTTCATGAGATATTGCGTTGCCTGTAACGTTGAGCGAAACGTTGGATACCGTTATCGCGATAATTGAGGTGTGACTATATTAGACTGATTCTCGTTTTTGCACGTTCTCTCTATATAGTATGTTTGTAAACGCGATTAAATTCGAAATTAATTTGCCAAACAATTATCCGTACAATGCAGCAAGCATTCATTTATAAATACCCGAAATGCTGATATATCTCATAATAAAAGAGGGAAAACCGATGACATTTCGTATGTAAAATAATTTATTCTGATGTAAAATAGGTAATATTTATTTTGGCGAAAAATATTTCCGCAGATTTGATTGGATTTTGAAAATATTTTGAGAATGTCAGCGAAAAATAATTGTCGGATATATTTTATGAGAGTTTTCGTCGCTTTATTACCTCGGCTATTCTATCATGTCGTTTCTTGCATGTGTAACATTCATTAACTGTTCCCTCGTTCACTTGGGAACAAAAAGATCATCGTGACACAGCTGAGTTGAACGCCGAATCCTCAGGGGGGACTGGAAAACTAGCGTTGTCGCGCAGCACGCGATATCGCGAGTTACACACACGGACGTTCTATTTTCGAATCCATTTCATGTCCACGGAGACCTAGGCACATCCAAATGAACGAAAACTGTCCTGTCACTCTTGTCGACAATCTAATAAATATCGACGTGAACATAACGGCGCCTCCATCTCCTGTGAGAATTGTCGAATCCCTGTATCTCCTCGTCCCTCCTTCTTCTTCGAGTCTCTTCTGTAACTCAATATAACGTATAGCCACGATGCCGAAGTGTTACAGAGCCCGACCTAATTTCCCTCGAATCCGGTATAACGACTTCGCTTTTGACCGAGTCTTCGTGCGCTGCACTCCGGAGACAATCTCGTTAGTCGCCCGTCGTCGACTACGACGGCAATGGAAAAACTAATCATGTGCTACAAAGCCTTGGGGGTTAATGGTGTGCCCAAGCGACAACTTGTGTTTTTTTTTAAATTCATGACACGTCTTAGCATGTGACGGTCTTAACGAGATTACTGGCGCTACCTCTAGCGTGACCTCTATCGTGTCGTCTTTTACCTATGGATTCTTTGACTAATTTCGTATCGATTTTTCATTAACGATAATGTCAAAGAGAGAGAGAAGATAGTTTCTGGTGTGAAGGAGCTACTATGGAAAATGGGGCAGCATCAAATTTTCGTGAAGAAGAAAAAATAGTAAGAATTTATGAAAAAAAAATTATCGAGATTACACGAGATACGCTTACGAAATCGAAAGTTTTAATTTATTCATTAAATAGTATATTTTACCGAGATAGTTCCGATATTTCGTGGCAGTTTGAAAATTTTAAATTTAATGGAACTATTATATACACGATGTATTTATTAGAGTTAAGAGCAAGCTTTTTTTTACCGTTGGCTACTCTGAATACCATTTTATCTAAAAAGATATACTTTAGATACTTACTTGTTTTATAAAGTAAAATTGGGTAGTCTTTTTTATATGCTTTCTGGCAAATTTATGCAAAAGGGAAGGGGTGAGCGAACTATTCTAAATGGGTTTTGCCGGCGCTTCACATTGTATCAGGTAGACATCGACAGCTCTTCTCTGTGGGTCAATGCCTATCGACTATTTTTACCTCATTGGAAGACAGGAAGGGTCTTCGCTTCTCTCAAAGCAAAGTATTCATACATAATTCCCTTTAAATATTCAAAGAAAGGTGTAAAAGTTCTGATCGTTTTACACATTCCATATACCTTCAATCGTGTA